TAACCCCAATTCCCAAAAAAAAAAAAAAAAAAAAAAAAAAACCCAAAAAACAAAAAGCAAACTTTCTGCTTAGATCAAACCTCCCTTATCATAGCACTGTATAATTCTAATACCACAAGTATGATTTTATATACACATATATTTAAATAAATACTTGCTTCACATTTGGGATTATATGCTGTCGGGGCAGAAAATGGAAGCATTTTTATTAAATGCTGAAACTTCAGCACATAGAACATTACTGAGTAGGCGCCTGTTAAAGTGTTTAATAAATGAAATCACCTTTGGTTCATCAGATAACCACCACCACTTGGACAGAAGCTGTTCCAAACAGAACCAAAACCAGTAATTCAATATGTTCAAGTAAACGAGTAGACTGGAAGATTAGGGCTATTTGGGTAAAATGACATGACAGAAAGAAATCAGAGAACTGCCACTGCCTGCCTGTACATGCATAAAGAGAAGGAAAGCTAGCAATGGGAATTTCTCAACATTTGTCCTTATTAGATTCCTTCAATAGCATGTTAGGTAAGGAAGGCAGATTTTTTTTTTAACACAAAGATAAGGGATTTGGACCCAAAGAGAGTAATAATTTTGCTAAGATCTTAAAAACAGTAAGGAGTAAATTTGGCATTTGAAATCCAACACTGTCTTTCCAGGATCCCATGGATACCAAAATCACAGATGCTCCAATCCCTTATATAACATAGTATATAAGTGTTTGTATATAATATATAAACATCCTCTAAATCATCTCTATATGACTTATCATACTGAATACAATCTAAATGCTAAGTATGGTAGTTGTTCTACTACATTGTTTAGGGCTGAGTATCCAACCTTTTGGCTTGCCTGGAACACAATGAATGAAAAAAAAAACAGTCTAAGACTGAATATATAATATATAATACAGGGGCTGGAGATTTGGCTCAGTGGTTTCGCCACCTGCCTCACTAGTGTACAGACCTGAGTTCAATCCCCTACACCCCAAAAATAAATAAATAAATAAATTACAGTTAATGTATATAAGTAACAAAACCACCTTTTTGCATTTTAGCTTACTAATTTTATGAAATAACAAGTCCAACTTAATAATTAAACAAGAAAATTGTATGTCTGTTTAAAAATAAAGCCCATCTTCACAGGCACATATGCGTGTAGGAAGGCTGAAATACTATCTCTGTAACCTGCTGTTATCTCCAGCTGCATGGGGCATGTGACCTCTGATCCACGTGGGTTTTGCTCGACTGTGCAGGTGCAGGAGGAGGAATGAGTGCTGCACTGCTCCTCCCCTACAGAGTTCCACAGTTAACGGTGCAGTTGGCACTGCAGCACTGCACAATCAAGTCATGGAAATATGGCTGAACATCACAGACTGCTAACCATTTACAGTGTCACGGGGCCATGTTCCTAGTTGTCCTGAACCACAGGTTAGGCCTCCTGATTTAGGAAGGATGACCAGAAAAAGTCTATACAGATGAGGAACCCACAGATAGAGAGAGGGTTGACTGAACTGGCTTCCCTATTCCTGCAGAAAAGTAAACACAGTGGAGTGAGATGGAATACATACCCAAACTGAATTAATGCAGGTCTTACCTGCATTCTAGTGAGAAAAAAATTAAAATGATAAAAATACACATTAAAAACTCTTCAAATAATTTACATACATAAAATTTAAACCTCAGCTGGGTGAGGTGGTGCAAGCCTAATATCCCAGCACTCTATCCTGAGGCAGGATCTCAAGTATGAGTCCAAAATGGGCAACTTCATGACGAATGAGGCCCTGTATCAAAATAAAAAATAAAAAAGTTTCAGGGATATAACTTAGAGCAAAGGTGCAGGATTCCATCCCCAGTATTGGTATTTTTTTTAAATCTTCTACAGATTTGTGAAGTTCACCAACTCCCTCATCAGAATCTGGGCTTATCTCTCTTCCCCCAGGCATAGCTTCTAACTGTAAGAGGCACGTACACAGCAGAACTAATTCTTCCTGGCTCAGACAGAGGACATCTTCCTGTAACACAGACTTCTGATAGGAAACTATTGGCTTTCCAAGTACAATCTACACCACCACATCATTCTGTGCATCTTTCTTACCTAGCTAACTCACCTAAAAAAAGGACTCTCGAAACAATGCCCTAGAAACTGATCCAGTCTTAACACTTAGGACTTATACTTATTTTCTTAAGTATACTAGACTCAAAAGTTAATTTAAAAAAATACTAGGAATTTCAGCTTCCTGAGAAGGGAAGCAGAAATAGTAACGGGGAGAAAGGGACAAAGGGTTTATGGGCAGGACATGGAGGCCATGCTACTGCCAACCACTAATTTTTTTACAAGATGCACGCAGTATCTCTTCTCTAGAAATCAGAATTTCTTACTGATGCACAAGGAAAATGTCAAGCTCTGAGCGTGGTCAGGGTGTGACAAAGAAAAGAATGCCTTCAATGGGTCTGGGGTATGGTAAAAATGGCCCATGTTCCAAATACAGACCCTTGTTTTGGTAAACAAAATCATTACTGAAACACAGCCAGGTTCGATTGTGCATACCCTTGGCTGCTTTCACAGGACCACAGCAGAGCTGAGCACTTGCAACACAGACCTTTGGGCCCACAAGGCCAACAATGTGTCTGGCACTTTATAAAAAGGTTTGCTGATTGTGTTAAAAGATATTTACTTAATACCTGTTAAAATGATAAAATGTTAAAACAAGACTCGTAAGACAAAACTCGACACGTCCTGTCTGAGGACAAGTACCCTGCACCTGCCACATGGCAGGCATCTCAGAGAGCTCCAGAGGCCACTCAGAGGGTGAGTGAAGACAGACCACCTCCTCTGGGGATGTGTCTAGCACAATCAGGTCAAGAGACTCCAATCTCACCAATAAGCTGCAGTGCTAAGCACAAAGTGCTATCTGTTCACACAACAGTTATCTGTTCATAGTTTAAAAAGAGGGGTGGGGGTATTGGAGCTGTTATAAGCAACGTTCATATACTACAGGACAGAAAGCTAGCTTCTGAACCAGGAAGAAAGAAGATAAAAAGCAGCCTCTTCCTGCACAGGATATATAAAGAGTACTGAGAGTGTTTTTGCTTACATTTTAAATGAGTGATCTTGAAAAGGAAACACATAATAAAAGCTTTAAAACTCCAGGGGAAGTGAAGTTTTGTGGACACTCTATTTCCTGCTCTTTCTGAAGTAAGGGGGGTGGTGGTGCTAGAACAGCTCACAGTGACCAGTAAGCCCCTGCAGCATTCATCTCTACAGCTCCCTGCTCTGCGCCATCAGCCACAGTGGCACTGTCCACACCCCAAACACCTCCCAGTATGTCACTGTGGGAAGGCACAAGACTCAAGGAAAATAACACAAGCAGGCAATCAGCTTCAGCATGGGGTAATAAGCAAAGGGACTATAGAACAACTTTCTAAATTAGAAGATGGGCCAGAAGTTTCTGGCCTAGCCTGGGAAGGAAGTCACCAATCCTTCCATCTATCCTAAAGAAAAATGAAAATGGAAATACAAAGATAACAGACCTCCAAATGGTATAGCTCAGAAAGATTTTAACTCCCTAAGGACCAAAACATCATGTCATATCATCCTTCGAAACACTTTACACAATTAGTTAATTCATGACCTGGCATGGTGAACACATCTGAAGCCAGCCTGGGCAACTTAACTAGACCCTGTCTCAAAATTTAAAAATGACAAAAAATGGGTGA